AGAGAATTTGCTTACAGAAGTAAAGAACTGTTCGTTAACAGGAGTCTCAGTGGCAATGCATAGGCGGTGCATAGGGGTGCACATGCACCCCCTCAAAGCACTGGTGCCCCCCCTGACCAGCCACGGTCGCCACTTAGGTGACCAGCGGGGGGCAGGTGGGAGCGCTGGTCCCTACCCTGCAAGCACCAACCAGGAAGTTGAACGTTGTGCTCCCAGAAGCAGCCGCAGCCAGTCGCAGCCACTTCCAGAAGTGGCCACAGTGATCGGCCATGGGTTGGAGGGACCCCTCCCTTCCCCCCCCCGCCCCGGTCAGTGAGATCGGTCCCTGTCGCTGACTGCCTCTGTTGCTAACTGCTTGCTGGGGGGACACGTGCCCCCCCTGACTAAGGTAGCACCAGTCACCCATGAGGAGTCTGATATTCACAAACTGGCCAGTGAAATTAGTATAAGGTCCTAGGGTACGGTCTGTTCCAGTACAGGTCTCTGACTTACGTATATTTTTTTCCTGCTCACAATTACATATGCCTCATAAGGTCCAGAAGTCTTGGCTTCCAGTGATCTGTGATTTTCCAAAGGAACATGCTTCCTTCAAGGAAAAAAAGCCAAATAGAGGTGCTAGTCCAATCATGCAGTTTCCTGTAACCATACATGAAGGACAGTGATGGCCTGGTTTGTGTAATCTGGAGAGCTTTTAAAGGAGAACTGAGAACCTTCTCACAATAAGATTACAGAAATGACTTGGTGGGAATCTTATCACTTAACTTAGGGGAGGGCAAAATGTGGCCCAGGGGCCAGATGTGGCCTGCCAGGCCATTCTATCCGGCCCACGGGGCCCCTAAAAAATTCAGAAAATTAATATTTATCTGCTCCGGGCTGCCTGTCATGCGGCCCTCGATGGCTTCCCAAAACTCAGTAAGCAGCCCTCTGCCCAAAATAATTGCCCACCCCTGACTTAAATGAATTAAGATCAGATTGGACAAAACAAATATGTGACCCTGGCTGTCTAGCCTGGGGCTGTCCCATCCCACTTCTTGCCAGGCATAGAAGGGAAGAGGAGCTGAAGGCTAGCCTGACCCTAGTACCATTCCCCTCAATAGGAAAAGAACAGTTTGGAGATAATACTTGCTCCCACTGTTTGGCAGTTATGTTTGCATGGTCCTCACCTGCAGTAAGCCAGCAAGCACTAAATCTGCTATCCGAGGAAGGAGCAGAGGAACTGGCAACAGGCAGTAAAGAACTAGAACTGGGAGGCAAAAAGAACTAGGGGGACTACGTAGTGCTGAATACCCAGTCTGGTCTGGTCTTGTTTTAAGGTCCCTGTTGGTTGTACAGGGAAACAGCGTTTTGTCCCAGTTTCCGAAAAACTTGGCACACTTGGCCCCCTGAAGAAGCTGTACTGGTGAAACTGATAGTATCAAACCAGCATATCAGGATCTCAAGGACATTCCTCAGAAAGCCTGTACACAATGGTAGTCTACCGTCTCCAGTGGCCTTCCAATGAGCCCCTCCATCCATATACAATTCCTCAAGGAATTGCAGTGAGGCAAGTCCACATAGTGGGGAAAGAAATGGAGGTAAACTGTTTGACTATGCACAGGGAAAAGTGGGCATTTTTCCTCTCTCTTCAACATCCATCAAAACTATCCCAGTCAAAACCCCACATGCTGGGTGAACTGCCTTGATTTTTCATTGTGAAACCTAGAAGGGAGAAGGAGAGAGGAGAGGCCTGATGTTATATTAGGAGTTTGGACTAGATTTGGGGATAAAGAAAACAGAAAAAAAAAAAAAAACACCCCCCTAACAGGAAAAAAAAGAGAAGGAAGGAGATTTTTTGGGCTTGGAAAACTGAGACGCAGGACAAAGAGGCTGAGACGCATGAAAAGAAACTGGAAGGATGTGGGGTACAAGCAAGAAAACAGCACAAGAAAAATGACCAAGGAGATTCAGGAATGAGCAAAGTGACCAATACAGAAAAGGGAAAGGAGGTTCAAAAGGTTGTAAAGAAGTAAGGAAAAGTGGTTTGGAAGAATGTAGATAAGGTAAGAAGAGAGCCTAAGCCAAGGAGTAGGAGCACCAGGTCCCTACGTGATATCATTAAATCGAAAGCAAAATTGTTAATCTACATTCACCACTAACAGACTGAAGTTGAGGGAAGTGCCAGAAGCATGGGTGGGATGGCAGAGATTTCTCCGATTGTGTAATTCATCCCCAGCAGGTACAGCTTTCATTAATAAAGCCTTAGAAATTTCTTAACAGCAATTCCCCCCCGGCCCCAATTTACCACAACAGCAGCAAGCAGGGCTGAGATGCTTTAACTCCCAGTGAAGAATTCTCCTTCTTCCCACCCCCTTGGGTCTCCCTTCAAATACAAAGGATTTTCTCTTCCTTACCAATTACTTTATTAACCCAACTACTGCAGCAGCTGCTAAGCTCCCCCTGCAACCTCTTGAGCCTAAAGACCTCTGCCTAACCCCAGCAAAGACTGAAGCAAGGGTGGAGGGAGACAATGATTTTGGATGAGCATTGCAAACACGCTTGGGAAGAAGTGAATTTCAGGCAAAGGGAGCATAGAGAGAGCAACTATGAAACAGATCTGGGAAGTCTGAGAAGTGCTAGCATGGAAACAGATGTTCTCTCCCCTGGTCCACAGGCTGCTACAGCCATGCTGGAGAGCAGAGTAGAACTCCTTACTTGAACATTCACGATTAACCATCAGGGCTTGCAGCTCAGCTGGTATAATTATTGCAATCAGTATCAAGGCTTCTCACAACAGCTGAAGAACTAACCCTTGCTGTTTGCTAGTCCTGAAAAAAAAAAAGTTAATGAATTGCAGAACCACCAATTTAGTGTTAGTCATTTGGTAGAACAGGAAGGAAGCAGGAAACCCTTGTGAATACTGAGTTTTCAGAGCAGTTTGCAAAGAAAGCAAAACCTTTAAGAAAAAAAAAGCACTAAACCTTGTGCAGCACTTCTGTCCTCCCCACCGCCTGAGTACCTAGCCACAGTTAGCATTTGCAACTAATTTAGCAGCAACCTTTCACAGCATGATTTGCTTAGATGCAGGGTTTTTTAGGGAGTTTTTTTTTTTCCCCAAAAGGAAGCCATACACTTGCTGAATGGGAGAGGCTCAATTATGTTCAACAGGTTCAGTTCACACTGTGACCCTGCCTGGCTTCCTGCTATTCAGATGTGTTACTTCCCCTTTGTGGTAATGGCCTGTGGCACTCAGCCAGAAAACATTATTAATTTCAGAAGTGGCCTGACAACAAACCCACAGTGAAACAAGAGGAAGTGGCGGGGAGGCCATCTGTTGGCTTCAGCAGAACAGCAGGAACACAGCTATGTAGGTTCTACAAGGAAAGCAGATTAATAATCCACAAAGAGGAAACTGGCTAAAATTATCCACAGACCATATTAAAAAAAAAAAAGAAGAGTCACTTGAGCTGCAGCTGGACAGGAAATTGCTAGAGCTGCTTGCAAATCTCCACTTTGAACGGCACAGTACAGGGAATGCCAAGAGCGGAAACCGTTCAAAACTGGATTAACACAAGCCAAGTTTAACTGCAACCCACTTCTACTTTCACAGTTTATTCACTCAATCAAGGCCACTACTGCATGAGACACTGACTCATTCCTCCCCCCCCCCACACATTTTGTTCGCTTTTCATTTTACACCCTTGCAGTTGCTAAAATTATATGAAATATTTTGGTTGCCAGGAATTTCAGAATTCCAGCCCACCACTTATTCTCCATCCTGACCTTGAAATGCGCCCTGCCATCGTTCCTAATTAAAAGTCCTATAACAATCAGGAAGTTATGGTACAAAGTGTTACTAGCACCATAGCCCAGTTTGTTCCTTCTACAGTCATAACTGTTTCAGTGTGCCTGAAGGAAAAGCAAGATGGTTCAAGGGTAGTTAACAGGTTTTCCTCCTCTTGTTCTCACCTTCTTAACTCCAGAACAAGTCAGTGGTGATAGAAAGTCATTTGCTGCCTGCAGACTGCTTATGGATCTCTGAAATCCATTCCTGGTAGATAAATATCCACACCACAGAAAGGACCAGCTCCTGGCTTTCTCAGCAGAAAAACCAAAACTTTAAGCATACATAGAAATCAGTATCTCCTGCCATGAAAATTGACCCTTACTGTAGAATTTCAGGACCCTGATGGATAGAGTAAAAGAGCCTGGACCATTCTGCATGTAACTTTTCTGGTAATCAAGCAGAAGATCTCTGAACTAATTTCTTGTGCACACAGTGATAGTGCTGTGTGTGCACTATTCATTAATTTAGATATCTGTGGGCCCAAAGAGGGACCTGGACTTTCTGTGCTAGGGGCTATATGGGACATTGCCCATCCAATAGTTAGATGCACGTGCAATTAAAAAAAAAAAAAGTCACACCCAAGTGGGAGAAAATAAACTAGTCATGTTTTCAATAGCCAAAAATAGTTATTTATTAATAATTTAAGGTTTTACATTCTTATAATAAATTCCATCTTTAAACTTTTACACCATGAATTAGAGACTCTCCCTTATTGGCAACCATGTGCAAGTTCACCTTGCATACACACAGGTACACATGCTCACACATACTTCCAGTTTTATACAAAAAGAAAAAAAAAAAAAAAAAAAAAAAAATTT